TATGTGGACAACCAGGATCAAGAATTCAGAATGAGCATTTTTCATGCTCACCATCCCTGGTCATAAAGGAAATGCAAATCAAAACCATACTAAGATTCCACCTCACCCCTGTTAAAATGGCTATCATCAAGAACATAACCAACAACAAATGTTGGCAAGGATATGGGGAAAAAGGACCCTCATACACTGCTTGTGGGAATGTAAGCTAGTACAAACACTTCTGAAAACAATATGGAGGATTATTAAAAAAATTAAACATAGATCTGCCATATGATCCAGCAATCCCACTTCTAGGCATATACCCAAAGGAATGCGACTGAGGTTACTCCAGAGGCACCTGCACACCCATGTTTATTGCAGCACTATTCACAATACCAAGTTATGGAAACAGCCAAGATGCCCCATCACTGACGAATGGATTAAGATGTGGTATTTATACACAATGAAATTTTACTCAGCCACAAAGAAGAATGAAATTTTGTCATTTGCAAGTAAACATATGGAACTAAAGACAATCATCTTAAATGAAGCTAGCCAGGCTCAAAAAGCAAAAATCATATGTTCTCCCTCATGCAGATTATAGACCAAAACAAATGCAGTAATATTATTGTACATGGGTCACAAACTAAGGAGAGAACATACATGGGAGAAATAGGGAAAGGAAAGGAAACCTAAAACTTGAATGTGGTTGATGTGCTCATTGTAGAGGAGTGAATAAGGTAATCTTAAACTGGCATAGGTCACTATGGGAAGGTGACTGGGAAGTAGTGAAGAGATCTGTTAGAAATGAACCAATGTGGGTTGCAATATTCAAGTGCATGGAAGCAAGGCTATGACTCTCTCTGTATAGCTATCTTTATCCAAAACTAGAAAAAACACTATGTCTTTCTTATTATCTCTTATGTTTTCTCTTCAACAAAATCGAAGAAGAGGGCAGAACAGATTCTGCCTGGAAGCAGGGGTTGGGGAGCTTGTGGAGTGAGGAGGGGAGGTGGCACAATGTATATACATGTAAGTAAGTGTAAAAATGATAAAATAAAAGGAGAACTCAGGTGATTGATTCCTAGTTCAGTGCTCTTTCCACACCACTGTGCTGCTGTCAGAGAGGACATTTTATTAATTGAGCTCCTATAGGTCCCCCTTTGTCTAAAACTCTGTGACTGAGCATAAGAGGGCAGTGGGCAGCAGTGTGCAATGCTGTCAGAGGCAGATGCTCTGTGCAGAGTCTCAGGATCCAAGTGGACTCTTTACAGCTTCTCCAGTCTTTGTTCTTTTAGTTCTGATGCCTCCCATGGTAGTGGGCAGGTAAACTCCTTGGTAACTAGTGAACTGTGTGATCCTGTGAAAACTTGTAGGTTACTGTGCTCCATTTTGAAATGGCATAAGAGAGGAATGCTAATAAGGCCTTTTCCCACTTTCTGACTGGCGATAGAAGAGAAGAGGAAGAGGTGTGGCAACTCTGGAGTGTGGCGGACAAAGACAAGGATTTGGAATTCTGGTTGTGACAAGGATATGCCTACAGTCACAGGGAAACTCCTGGGGTTTTCTGGTGATCCCTTCTTCAGCCTATGGGTCAGAAAGAATGACAGCAAGGTACTGAAGAAGACCCATATTTGAGGCTTGGATTAATTAACTTATTCATGTGACTCACATTTATTTTTTTTGGATGGTCACTAAAGTTATAAATACTCATATTTTTAAATACCAGGCCCTGTACTTGAGGGTCAAAGTCTAATGGGAGTAATATGCATGTAAATAGGTAAGAGGAGTCAAAATGACAAATCCTGTAACAGAGATAGCAATTGATTCTGCCAGGCAGGTGTGTGGGCAAAGGGACAGGAAAGTGAAGAGTGGAGGTGACATTGAGCTAGTTTGAGTGTGGGAAAGAGGCAGCTGTTCTTCCTAATTACTGTACCATCACAGGAGAGGTTGATGATACTTAGAAGAAAGAGGGGCTGGGGGTGGGGAAGATACAAAGATTTGCTGAGTATAACATTGATACTGGACTAAGCCAAGTCCCTTTGCCTCTGATGGGCTTCCCAGAGCACCAGACCCCCACCAGGAATACCACAACCCCTTCTGGGGTCTGACAGTTAATCTTATCCAAAGAAGAGGCTTGCAAACTCCTGGTTTCCGGGCATGTGTTCCCAGTTTCCTGACCAAGTGTTGAAACTGTCTCAGAGCCAGGACACGGCAAGTAAATCCCCAAGAAGAAGTTCTGGTGTTGAGGTCAGCTGGAAGGAAGGAATCACTGCTTTCTATTTGTATGCTCACTTATGATGTATCAAGGCTCTGGGAAGGCAGCCAAGGCAGTACAAGTAAGTGTGAACCATGACTGGAAGAACCCACAATCCTGCTTTGAGTCCCTGCAATTCTGCCTCCTGGCCTGGCCACCCAGGGTGCTCAGCTGTGGTCACAACTCCAGAGCAAGAGCTGCAGGATGCATGCTGACTCTACTCTTATCTGCAGCTTTGAGTTTTGGTGCAGCTGGGTTCTGCTCCCAGATAAGAAAGATGCACCCTGAAGCTGTAATAAACACCTTGAATGATTCAATTTGAACTGAATTTACTTCCAGTGAATGGTTAATCTGTGCAGGACAGAGATGAATGAGACAGTACAGTTAGTGCTGAAAAATTCAGGCTAGAAGTGTAGGTAATCTTGCAGCAATTCCAGCAGCTTCAAAAAGCAAGGACATCATTTCCAGACATTGGCGGTGGCCGTCCACCCTCTGGTGGTGTTTGTGGTGTTGATGAGCTGAACACCTGGTCAAGGTTGTTTCTTGGTTGGAAAAATAAACATCACTTTTGAGATCCATATTGTCTTAGGACCACACCAGGACTTTCTAAGGATGAAAATCAATCCTCTATTTTCACATATATGGAAACAGATAACATGGAGATGAGAAATTTGCCCAATATTCCACAGGAACAGAACAAGAACCTGATCCTGTCCTTGGGGCTCATTCAAGTCTCTGCGCACTTCTAGCCAGCTCATCTGCACACCTCGTGGGGACACTTTTCATAGGATAAAGTAAAGAACAGATCGCCTCTAAAGTGACCACTGAGCACTCCCTGGAGATCCCCTCTGCCACACCCATTCTCCCATCTTCCCTTTACATGTGCCTGTGATAAGCCTGCACACTCAGGCAGCAAGGCTGTGGGTGCCTCTTCTGTACTGTGTCTGAATGAGGGATACAAACACATCTTCAGAGAAGTTCCACAGTACAGCAAGAAAACATTTTCCACCATGTAGACGCTGAGTCCACTTTAAAATATTAAACTGCACAGTGTAAGTGTAGTGCAGGGCCGTGTGCAAATCCCTGGTGGCTGCTCCTCCACTCTGCCATGTTTCTTTTCAGGCTCTCACCTGACAATGACAAGGAGGAAGGCTGTGGGTTGGGCCCTCTCATCACCTCTCTTGGTGGGGAGTTCCCTCTAGGATCACTGTGGACATGTGACTCTGCAGCCACAGGCTGACAAGCTGTGTTGGTTCCTGGGAAAGCTTGCCAGCTCCCTCCTTTAAGTGTGAGGAGAATGAGGCACAAAGCAAGGCTGCTGGCTAATGGCTCTTGTTCAGTGGAAGAGTTACAGCGGGGCTGCAGCTCCTTGTGCTACAGACTTTGACCCCCAACCCCTTCGGGTCACATTTCAGGGGAGCAGATGTCTTGGGCTTGGAGTATGGTGCTTCTGGCTGTGAATGCATCTTCATGCTCCAAGGCAGGAGTTTTGTTGTGTTTCGCTCAGGAGCAGAGGCAGAGCCTGGGTCAGAACCCTTCCCAGACAAGCATTTGCACCAGGAATGAAGCAAGTACTCTACCTTCCAAAGAGAAGAGGGGGCTCTGTAGAGATGCCTGTGTCTCCACTCTGCACATTCCAGAACCCTTTCTGATTATAATTATAAAATTAACAAAACAAAGCAAAATAAAAGCAGGAGTGAGTTTAGGAGAAGATGGAGACAGGTCAGAGGCATAACACCAACACTTCATTGGAAATTGAGGTGGGAATCGAGATAGGAAACCCAAAGCAGGTTCAGTGAATTCATAAGCAACCCGATTCAGTCAGGTGATAGAAATATGGAAATGAGATCTTGTATAAAATTACCTGTTACCCTAGAAAAACTTAAAAAGTGGTCTCTTACATGTCAGTATATTTGCCTAGATTTTCTGTAGTCTTCACTGTAACATACATCAAGTAACGTTCATTACTCTTGAGGTGACTGACTCAAATGCATGGTGTAACATCAACTTTGAGCAGGATCCAGAGAAAAACCAAAGAATGAGAGGTGTTAAGGGTTTGGGAGTCTTCACGCCCAGGGTCTTATACTGCTTCAAGCGTTCAGAATGCACTCTTTAGAAATAAAAGAAGGAACACTTGATTAGGCACACCAAGAGTCCTGTTAATGAATTGCTTTCCATGGGCCAATTTAATTAATATTATAATTTTCATTTTTCTTCCAACCCCAAAATGGAAGTGCTTAAGCCTTATTACATATTCTTATGATTATAACCTAGGAATGAATGTTTGAAAACAATAGAAGTCTATTTAAATGTGACCTATTGGTATTGCTATTGAGGAAGCTGTGGAAAAAGGGATAAGGCTTATTATGGTCTGGGTGAGTGAGTAGGAAGAGGTTAATGTTGGGTTTGATGTGAATGATGTCATTACATTTAAGCAGGGCTGTCGATTGGCTGCATTTCTATCTCTCAAGAAATAAGGTTTGGAGCTTAGTTTCTACTCTATCCCCAGGTCTGAGTAGGTAATACATACTACTATAATAAGGAAATAAGGACACGGGGAAAGGAAGTGGAATTACACAACCTTGAAACTCCTTAAGAAAAGAAATGGTGAGGTACGGAGGATTTCAAGAAAATTTTTTCATCAGATCTTTACTTTTGGGGTTAGAGTCATTGAACAAATATTTTTTGAGCATCTATGGTCAGCCACACATTCTTTTAAACCTTAGGGATGCTTCAAGATCTCTGCCTTTCAGAAGATTACATTTTAGTTTCCAGTTGTTTCATCCTGTGGACTCTCATTTTCTTCCTCACTTACGGATGGTATACAACATCTATTCCAGGGATCAGAGCAAATGTCACCCTTTTCTTCACCAGAATAGCAGAAAAAGAGTCTGCATTTCCCATGCTGCATGAGACAGATAGTATTTCTAATTCCAGGTGGAATATCTCCTGCAGATTCAACAGAATAGGGTTGATATTTAATTCATACAATGCAGAGATCAAGTAATAACCCCAGCCCACAGCCCAACTCTAAGAGTTTACACAATATTCTTACTAAGCTAAGTGTCTTGGGACAAGTCTGAATTTCACTGAACTTTGGCTTCTTACCTTTGAAGCAGAAAAAATATGTCTCCCAATGCTAATAGGAGGATCAACAGCATGTTCTGTGTAAGATCACCTGGCCCACAATAGGTCCTAAGAAAATGCTAATCATGACATCAGGGTTCTCCAGACTCCTGGAGATAAATGTACTTTGAGGGAGACCCAGAATGGAATAATGGGAGGTGAGTCTTGGTATTCAGGAAAATTATAAACAGTTCTGATTCTCAGCTTGTGGCACAATTTTTAGTTTTATTCCTACAATGGAAAACTTGTGGGTTGTAAGTCCAACACAACCACCTAAAGCTCCCATAAGGAAAGTACTTGGGAAAAGACATGGTTAAAAAAAGATCTTACTTATGTCAGATCTACAAATGATACATATCATGATGGGGAAAAGTGTAAGGGAGAGTAATAAAGATGGTTAATCTTACTAAAGTACAGCATTTTCACAGCTGAGATACTACTGTGAGACCGTTGGGGTGATGACTAGGTACTGTATAATGTAGGCTAGGATTGTGAAACAGGTCCTGTTGGGAAGGGGGTATAGGTGGGAGGGGTGAGCATGAATGGAGGGATAAAGGAGTATAAATATGGTTGATGTTCTTTACATATGCATATGAAATAGAACAATGAAATCTGTTGAAATTATTTTAAGTAGGGGATTGGGAGATGAGGGAGAGTGATATTGGGGGTAAACCTAATCGAGGTACATTATAAGCATATATGGAAATGTTACAGTGAATCTGCCCTGTACAACTCATACATGCTAATCCAAATGTTTAAGAAAAACCAACAATAATGACACAGTATTAGTCTTTCGTGATCATATAAACATGTACAATATCTTAGCTCCAAACATAGACTACTCAAGGATCCTGTGTCACTTCATCCCTACAGTGGCTTGAGGGGACAGCAGCATGAAGTCATGGACTACATCTTTAGTAAAGACAGAGGAATATCAGTTAAGGATTTGGGGATCTGAATTCCAGACTTCTTCAAATAACTCATTTTCTCTCCCTGGACAATTCATTTAAATGGCTCTCAGTGTTCTCATCTATGAAGCAGAGTAAATATGAAACCTATGGATTATTGTTATAAGGGTGAAGACCACCTATGACCATAAGTATTCACTGTACAACAGTAAGTTAACAGTTACTCTGCACCTTTGGTTTCTGTCTGTGGACTATGGGGCTGCTATAGAAGGTCTTTGATTCTGTTGATCAAAGAACAATGGGACTTTTATAGGTTGTCCAGAACACTGGCCAGGGATGAGCTGGTTCCTGTGCTCTACTGAGTAAGGATATGGGCAGAAGGTACTGAGTAGTCTTTCTTTTCTGCCACTTGTTAATATAGTAACTTCTTTGTGAAAATTTTTCTCAGACAGTCTTTGCCTTGTGTATAACACATATAACCCTAATTTAACTTTTAAAAAAACTCTTCATAATTGAGATTAAAGTGGTCTGAGCCCCAAAGTTGTCCACCTTTACCTACTAACCATACAAGGACAGACACCCCACACTGTCCACACATTAACACAAACAAAAGGTGGATTCCTGCACTGCCTTCCCCATGGCTACCCAGGAGAGATTTACCTTTGATGTTTGTGAGCAAACAGAAGAAAACAGCAAAAACAAAGAGGACTCTCATGTTTTAAGGCTCTTGTGGACCTTTCTGCCTTTCTGTATCTGAAAGCAAGAATGATGAATGTTACAGTGATGTGGGGTGAAGAGGACAATGGGACCTTTATAGGTTTTCCAGAACACTGATCAGGAATGAGCGAGTTCCTTTGCTCTACTGAGTAAGGCTGTGGGCAGAAGGTGCTGAGTAGTCTTTCCTTTCTCCCTAGAACTAGGCATTTTGGCATTCCCTAGAAGTAAGGGTTCACCAATAACTTGGTGTGTGAGTTCAAAGAGGAAAGAGAGGTAACACTGAGGAGTGGCTACTTAGTGCCAGGTACCATGATAGGTGACAGAGACATAGTTGTGTAAAGGTCTGTCCTCTGCCTCCAAAAAGCTTTCAGTTGGGGAATAGCCACCAAAGTTGAGCCCACGGAGAGTCTGTGACTCAGAAATATCACTCCCACATGCATAACCAATGTAAATAAAGGCCCAGGTACACCAAGAGGCAAGTAAAAGAATGTTTATTGTGTATAAGTCATTAGACTGTCAAAAGAACACAGCTTCAATAGTATATTATGGCAGTAATTAAATGACTAATGTTTTCCTATTAATTTCCCATTCATTTAAAAAATGGAAGAATCCAGGCACAGTGGGTTATGCCTGAAATCCTAGCTACTCCAGAGGTGGAGATTAGGAGAATCATGATTCAGTGCCAGCCTAGGAGGGAAGTTTGTGAGGCTACATCTCAATCAATAAAAGCTGGGTGCAGTGGTGCTCGCCTGTTATCCCAGCTACACCAGAAGCATACATAGGAAGATCACGGCCTAGAGATCAATATGAGTCGTTACCCCAAAAATAGATAAAACATAAAAAAGACTGAGAGATGGCTCAAGTGATAGAGTGTCTGCCCAACAAGCATGAGGCCTGGAGTTCAAACATTAGCATTGGGTGAACAAAAAAATGTGAGAAAGGTAATTAAGGCAAAGAGGGGTAAATAGGATCAAAGTACATTATATGTATGTACAGAAGTGAAACCCCTCACGTTGTGTAATTAATATGTACAAATAAAATTGTTTATGGTAAACAAATACAGTTACATATTTTTACTAAGACAAAAAAGAAAACTACAATGACAGAGCAAAACTATAGATGCATACAACATGAATGGACCTCACAAATAGGCTTAGTGGAAAAGGAAGGCAAGATGTAAAATAGCATATTATTCTAAAACTTTGCAAAACTAAATGATTCACCTTGAGCCAGGATGTTTTCTTCTTTGAGAGAAGAAGGCAGACTTCTCCCTACTTGAAGTGATTGTCTAGAGGAAACAGGGAGTCACAAGGTTATGTCGGCCGTACATGGAGGCACATTGGTAGGGCCCTGTGGGTGAAGAATGGAGATGACAATCCTCAGATTAGAGGACATAAGGTAGTCTCTTTAGGAGTCTGGTCTTGGGCGAGAGGCCAGAAGGACCAATTCCTCATGTAGGTTTATGTTGTAGAAGTTGCTGAAACACACAGTCGATATGGCCACACATCTTGTTCCTACTTGATTTTACTTCTGGGATTACCTGAATTTATTTCTCTGAAAATTCTCTTGACAAAAACTGAAAAGTGAAAAGCAAGTCTTCTTCTAGCCTGTCCTCCAAGCTGCCATGGCAATCTACTATTTTCTCATTAATCTTTCCAGAGGTTTCCAATTTATACACAAGCATACGTGAACCTATACCTCCAATTGATATAACACTAGCAAACTTTACATGTTATTACAGACTTTCCTTTTTTTATTGGTATGCTTTGATAATTTTTTTAAAAACAAACATGGGATGCTTTCTCATTCTTTATAAGAGTTTCACGATATTCTTGTGGGCCATCTTCCACTGTTTTTAAAGAGTCTAAAACAAACATAATTGACCTGGAAAATAGATGTCTAGCTTGGTCCTGAACCTGTTACATAAGTGAACAATAAGATCATCCAAAAGAGGGGAGGGTCAGATGTTCATTTGGAAGCATCTGGGTCTGGAGTGATAGTCAAAGGGAGTAGGCCCTGGCAATGGGTGCTTGATTCATAAGACTTTATGGGCCTTGTAAAAACACCTGAGACTTTGGGGCAGATCTCCAGCATACCACAAGCTGGTTTTGCCTCTTTGAAATATATAAATAGACAAAATAGAGGAAGCTTACTCTAAATGGTAGCCATGAATTAATGATTATAAGGCAGATGCAATAATATATGTGCATACATAAGGATCTAACTGTGCAAGTAATTAATCTATTAAAATTTAAACTTCTTTCACTGTGGAACAATTGTTCTGAACATCTCTCTGGTCTTCCTCTTTAATAAAGGCACAATAAGTTTCATTTGACCCTCAGGAATATTGGCTTCCACACCAAGATTATACTCTATGTTCAATGGTCCCTACAAATAATTATAACTTTGAATATATTTCTGCTCATAGATGGGAGTGTAGATTTAAGATACAAGATTTTACAAGATTAGAGCATATATATCCAAACATATAATTCATTGTTAAGAGGTCAGCTTGATAGACAAGACAATAGAATGTGTGTTTTATGTTATATCCACTCTTTCTATTTATAGTGCACTTTATTTAGAAGAGAATTTTTTTAAGAAAAACAAAAATTTTATCTATTTTTTTGTTTTATTTATTCATTTATTCATATGTGCATACATTTTTGGGCCATTTCTCCCCCCATGACTCCCACCCTCTCCCCCACACCCCTTTGCTTCCAAGCGGAACCTGTCTGCCCTCTTCTCCAATTTTGCTGAAGAGAAGACACAAGCAATAATAAGAAAGACAAAACATTTTTGCTAGTTGAGATAAGGCTAGCTACACAGAGAGATTCCTAGCATTGCTTCCATGCACAAGTGTATTACAACCCTAATTGATTCATCTCTACCTGACCTCTTCACTACTTCCGGGTCACCTTCCCATAGTGATGTTTTAAGATTACTATATTAGCTCCTCTACAGTGAACACATCAAACACTTTCAAGTTTTGGGTTTCCTACCTATCCCTATTCCTCCTGAACATCCTCTCCCCTTGGCGTGTGACCCATGTCCAATAATATTATTGCATTTGCTTTAGGGCTAAGGTCTGGAACTCATGGTCTCCTGCCTCAGCTTCCCAACTGCTAGGATTGAAGTAATGTGTTGCCACATCTTGCAGCTTTTAAAATTTTTGTTTTTCAGTCATATGTTCTCCTTCATATGCAATATTTAGAAGAGAATTAACATAGAGCTGGATGATATATTGCAGCACAGCCACTAATTAAATAGTTGTGAAATAAATAAATAAATAGTTGTGAAATTGTAGTTTAGAAATTTTCTGTAGAGTACGAAAACCTTATGAGCAAGGTTGGAAAATCAACTTACCTGGGGGAGAAATCAATTCATAGTATAAAGTTTTATCATCCATATTCTTCTCCAGATTTAACTATTTCCAAGTAACAGACTCAGAAAGCACTGATTCCCACAGAGAATCTCATAAATATTTCTAGAGAGTTTATCTAGAAATAAACTAGAAAATCAAGCTCTTTGTCTAACTTCATTAATATCTGGTGATGTGTTCATAGTTTTATATGATCGCATAGTTAAATGAAACTCAAATCTGAATTTACAGCTCAGTTTGTCCCAACACACGAGAAAATGATCAAGATGAATAAGCATCATACTGATGAATAGAAAAGGACACTGTGAGAAGAGGACAGGAAAAATACATTTGATTTTGCAAGCATTTGAGATTAGCAAACTTTTTAGATACTAAGGGAAATTTGATATTATTCAATAAAAAAGACAAGCCCACTTAAAAACAGGAAAAGTCATGTGTGTAGACATTTCTTCAAAGACGACATAGACATGTCATGAAAAAATTCTCAATGTCATTATGGAATTCCAAATCGAATCCACAAAGTGATAGCATTTTATATCGACCAAAGTTGTCATAAAATATTTTAAAAACTGAAAATAACAATTGTTGATGAAGATATAGAGAATTTGGAATGTTCAAATATTGCTGGTGAGGATGGAAAACTGTGAAGCAGGTGTGAGAGAGTTATTCAGTTCCTCTGTAAGCTAAGCGTAGAGCTAAACATGTGACCTACCAATTTTACTAGGTACACACATGCACGCAATGGAAACAGTGTTCAGACAAATCCTTAAGTGAATGTTTATAGCAGCACTGTTCACAGCAATCCCAAGCAGAAACATGCCAGTGTGAGCTAACTGATGCACAGTTAAATTGTGGTATACTCACACAATGAAACAGTATTTGGTCAGAAAAAGGAAAGAGTTTTGAATCTACCACAGCATGGATAAGCCTCAAGAAATTCTGATTTCGAGACTAAGCCAGGAACAGCATTTCACTTATAATACAGTACTATTTACATGATATATGCAGAACTGGCAGATTTATAGAGGCAGAAGCAGATTAGTGGTTGTGAGTGAGTGGAAAAGGGGGATGGGGAGAGCCTGCTTAATTGTTATGGTCTTCTGGGGTTATGATAGAGCTCTCGAACTAAGAAATGATGATGATTACACATCATTACAAATGTACTCAATTCTGAGTTGTACACTTTAAAATGGTTAAAGTGGTAAATTTTGTGTTGTGTATAGTTTTCCATAATAAAAAACAAAACTTTGAGGATTTCTGAAATCATGTAATGTTAGTATAGGAAGGAACTGCTAACACTGTACTGTCAAAATCTCTCTCAGCTTAGAGAGATCGACCTACCTGAGGACACAGGGATGATTGATTGCAGTTCCAGGAATCAGATTTTTTCACAATAAGCAAGTGTTTTTCTTCTACCATTGCAAAGACTTGTAATGCTACTCACACATTCACCAGCACCAATCCCTCTGCCCACCACCATATGACAGAGAATGCACCCTGTGAAATCAAATGCAAGATGCTTTCAGTTCCACCTTCATGTCTGCAGGTGGAAGCATGTGATTAATTCCTCCTTGGCACAATTTAATTTTCAAACAAAACTAGTTATTTCACTAATA